TTTTTTTGGTGAAAAGATGCGTACAAATATATGAAAGTAATTAAATATGACATCAACAGGAAATCAATAATTTTATTTATCTTAAACACCTACAGTTTGTCCTTGAAAAGAATTGAAGAGAAAGCAGATAAAAACTCATAAGCTAAATGGACCTCGTCTTTAATAAAAAAAAAAAAAAACTTTTTATTTCACTAATTTCCTTCTTTTGATCTCATCTTTTATTAGCAGAGACATTTACTAAATGTCAGCTGGGTGGAGAGCTGTAAATATCCTTGAGAGATTGATGCGAGAGCAAGGGCATGTGCCTTTGTTTGACATTTTCTTGTACCTCCTTTCTTTTCTTTAAATTCTTTTGAAAAATTTGCCTGCCATGATGATGAATTTTAAAAGTAGCTCCGCTAATTGCAAGGAAACCAGAAACCAGGAGTCAGAAATGTTTTCGGGGTGAAAAACCTTTAGAAAGCCATATCATTCAGAATCAAAAGCCTGGTTTTGAGTGTTAATGATGTTATGATGCCTGATTTAAACTCTGCACATCTTCTTTGGTTCTTTTATCTGGTTAGGCTCTTTGACTATCACGGACGGGTGGCTCCTCCTCCGAGGGCAGTGATTCCTCTGAAGCGTTCACGAGTGGTGCTTCCATCCACTCGACGCGGGAAGAGTTCATTCCCTATTAAAACCTCATCCTCTTCTTCCTCAAGACCCCCATCATCATCATCGTCCTTCTCCTTTGGGCTGAAATGTAAGCCATAATAAATATCACACAAGCGTCTAAATATGAAGACAACCTAAAATTCAATACATTATATAACAGCTACAAGTTAGGTGTAATTTTTTAGCTTACAATTTCACATAATAACTTGCTGTCTGTAGAATAGAATATATAACTGCAATTTATTTCATTATTTTATTTAGTAAACACTTTAGATCCTTTTTAAGGAAAGAAAGAAAAAATATGTCTTTTTTCAGTACTTTCTGTGCATTTATTTTTGGAGTGCAAATATATGATGGCTCGAGTTCTCGCAGACGTGTTGCAGCTCTCTCTTCACAATAGTACACTCTGTCCTGTTCTCCTCTCAGCCTGTCTGAAAGCACAGAAACCAATATCACAGAACATGCAGTTATAAACAAACACTATTTCAGGCTAACTGTACAGAAACAAGATATTCTGTTTTCTCAAACTGCATTAAAAAGCACAGAACAAATCTGCAATAATTAAATAATATAATAACTGTCCAACACTTTATGGACTTGATTGTACATGTATGCAAATATATATTTATATTGTTGGATGTATAATATATTAATATTAATATACAATTAATATTATGTATTATCAACTGCCTGATTTTTATTTATTTTTTTTTTACAAAATGTAAGTATATTATCGCATAGCTCTTTATATAAAGTTGAATATGTAAGTATGTCCAGCTTTGTCTGCATACATACTGTATATTCATACTCACGTAAAGCAATATATTCTATATAGCAAATCTCAGCTGCTTGATTGATTGTTTTTTTTTTATTGTTCTTTATATAAATTTGGATTTAAAGTATGTCCAAATTTATCCACATAAATACTAGGGATGCACCGAAATGAAAATTCTGGGCCGAAATCGAAACCGAAAATTCTGGATGCATTTGGCCGAAATCCGAAAATGCTTTTTAATAATTATTTATTATTTTATTAAGTAATATTAAATAATTTTGTAAGACTTTTTAATTTAACTCAATAATTTGAATGATACTTAATAAAAAAATAAAAAAACAGCAAATAAATAACCACATTTTTATGGAAAGTAAAACAATAAAATTGGACAGAAATTATATCACTATTACATATTAATATATTATTTTTATTCAATTCTGTGCAACATAATCAGATTTAACAGATTTTTATTATAAATAATAATTATCCAAATAATGTATATTCCTACAAAGTTATTATTATCACAGCATCTGAGCAGAGCATAGCTGGGAGCAGATCAGTGAATGAGAGGGTAGCGTCATTTTACCAGTGTTGCCCAGTACAGCTGTACTAGGATTTTCGGAGGTCAAAATTTTGGTGCATCCTTAAAACATACAGTATACTGGCGTAGGGTGATATTCACTAATATAGCAAATCTCAACCGCTTGATTGCTTGTATCGCAAAATGAAAGCTTTATTACCGCCCTGCTCTAATCTGCTAAATGCAACTATAAGACATGAAGGTATTAAGATTCTATAAACATTAACCTCATGAAAATCTGTAAAGCTGCTGTGAAACCATGTGAAAAGCGCTATACAAATAAATTTGACTTGCCTTGCCTGAAGATTGCAAATGCAACTTGACTTGGTATTTGGGTGTGTCAAGCAATGACATTCATGCAATGTCATGCAAAAAGACATTAATAATACAGTGCATGTTGCAGGAATCGCTCCCACAGATCCACAATGCACTTTACACCATTAAATCACTGAACTCTGGCATTGACAGTCTGTGGCACACTGTATGAAGTCCACGAGTTTTATTCCTCACTGCCAACTGCTGGTTTATTGTCTGGCACAGGCGAAACATGTCGGTCAGTAGCTCTCTTTTACAGGTTACACGGTGTGAAAAAGAGACTTTTTATATTTCATGGGAGCAAAAAATCAAGAACATATTGATTTTTGTAACCACAGAGCATTCTGAGACCGAGACTTACGGCCGTCTGATATGCTCCTTTAATTCTATGGATGCGAGCCAAACGGCAAGACAGAACGTCATGCGGTCGTGTTTGTAAATTAGAATTCATAAAACTAATTCAGATTTGATCTCTAACCCACAAGTAGCAGCTTTCACAGCATCTGTCAGCATCCCGCCATCTCCTCCAAGCGTGGAGCTCAGAAGTCGAGATTAGCCGTGGTGCATGACACTAATGCTCTTAGCTGTGGTGCTGTGGCCTCTCTGGGGGCTTTTCTTATATCAGTGCAATTCACGAGCAAAAATATCCATGGCATGTACACAAAAGTGCTACTGTTTACCTTAATCTGCATTTCATTGGAGTTCTCCCTTCTCTTCACAGCGCGATCTGGAGATTAGCTTTATACTACACCAAAATAGCATTTAATTTGGCTCGAAAAGTTTACTTTGGCTGTTTTTCTCAAAACTGCTTCATGGTTTGCTGATGAAAATGCAGTTGTTCTCCATTTAAGATAAGAATTGTGATGTTTTTTCATTGCCACCAGAAAATACTGATTGCTATGTAGTAGAGGAGATGTGAAAACACACAACTACTGCAATTGTTGTCCCAAATAGAGGTCAGCCATAAACTAGAATGACATGAATAGCAAAACCTGTTTTATTTGCCTCTGTCTGTGAAATAATATTGGGAATTTGACTTGCGCTGTGACATGCTGTACTGCAACCTCAATATTTTAAACAGGATTTTGCTAATTCTATTATGCATGAAGCTTTTGTGGCCTCATATTAATGCCATGAGCCTGCATGAATATTTGGACTGTTTAATTTGTCACACTATAAGGACCATTTAAACTGAAGTGCTAGCAAAAAGGTAATTCAAAATAATTAAAAACCAGGTACAGGACCAAGGTATGCTCACCAAGACTGCATTTATTTGATCAAATGTACAGTAAAAAAAAACAGTAATATTGTGAAATTATTACAATTTAAAATTACTGTTTTCTACGTTAATATATTTTAGAATGTCACTCATTCCGGTGATGCAAAGCTGAATTTTCAGCATCATTACTCCAGTCTTCAGTGTCACATGATCCTCATTTCTTATTATTATCAATGTTGAAAACAGTTACTTAATGTTTCTTGATATCTTAATACTTAATATTCTTAATGAAAAGAACATTTATTTTAATCCATTTAATTTTTAATCAAATTCATTTTGATCAATTTAATGCATCCCTGCTGAATGAAAGAATTGATTTCTTAAAAAAAAAAATAACATTAAAAAATAACATTTAAAACACATGTGACAACTTACCCCAACCTGGCCTATATAGAAAAATTGTTTTGTTCTGAAAACACAATTTAAACTTTTGGTTAAAATCTGCCTTCATTATATAGTTGACTTTTCTTCTGAATATATGGTGGTGGTGTTTCATTGTGTTCACTTATTTACTTGTTCACTTATTCTACACGGAGATATGATATTATGGTGTAGCAATCTAGTTAAAGGGCAGAATTCTCAAAAATTGCTATAATTAAGAGGGCTTAGAAGTCAAGACCTTACAGTTACTGAGATATAGCTTGTGACAACTAGCCCCAGTCTCCATTACATTTTAATCTAGAATCTTGATCTTGGAAAACAACACGTTGTGCATCATAATCCGCAGCATTTCATGCACTGCATGTCACACATCCTCGAAAAAAATTCACAAGTACATCTCAATAAATTAGAATGTCGTGGAAAAGTTCATTTATTTCAGTAATTCAACTCAAATTGTGAAACTCGTGTATTAAATAAATTCAATGCACACAGACTGAAGTAGTTTAAGTCTTTGGTATGACATTCTAATTTATTGAGATGCACCTGTAAACAGTTTAAAACAAGTGATAAAAGAGAAAGTTTTACCAGCTGTTGTCATCAAATTGATGCTCAGCTATAGTGTTTTGTAGGTTGCCCAGATTACAACTCCTTCAGAATTCACGTTTGCAAAGCTCGAAGGCAATTTTTGGACATGTGTTGTATTTGGAGCTTTGGAGCAATTTGAATGGTTGCACACGGACATGTTCATTGAATTGCAGTAGATACGACGCTCTGTCACCTAAACACCTACACACACAGAGCTTTCTGCCTCGGGCGGGTGATGGCAGGTGACACTATTTTGTGAGGTAGTGGAAAAGCTGGCAGCGGTGTGACAGCAGTGCTGGGTCACACTGTGTTATCAGGGCTGAAGGCAGTGACAGCAAAACCACAAGCTTCAGCTTTCTCAAGGAGAGGAACGGCTCGAAAAATGCTGGAAAATACAAACTAATTAATTTTTCTACAAAGCATTTATTATATGTATCCTGGAGCTCCAATTATCATGAAGAAGCAGGTTTTTCCGTGTCAAGAGGTGCTGCTAAAGGTTTTTCATAGAGGTCAATTCAGCCCACACTGCATTGTCTAATAATTTTCTAGTGTCATTCAATATATTAAAGCAGTAAATCAAGCGTAGCGTTAGTTCTGGCAGGTCACGTTAGTCAAGCTCGCATCAGCTGACTCTCAACTGATCCCCATCAACCTATGGGAATATGACACCTATCTTAAGTATTCATATATAAGGTCCCGCAGTATTATCAGCAGTTTTCGCATTGCTCAATAGCTAATTACCCTCCTCCTAGTCTGATTCTCCTTTGAATCAGACTAATTCTAAAATGTGTACATAACATTATTGAACTTTAACGATATCTGCAATACATTTATGTTGGTTCTGTTCTGTTTACCCTGGGGGGGTTATCGCTGCTCTCCCTGCTCTCATCCATGCTAGGCTGCATGGATGCGCAGGGAATTCTTGCCCAGAACAGAACCATACCGCCAATCCAAACTGTATGCTAATTGTCAATCATCTTTGACGATAGTGGTCCTGACAGAACTTGGATTTTAGAAACAAAAATGCCAGGTACTTTTGTTTTTGCATCAGTGAAAATAGTTCCTGAATGATTCATTGTTTTGTGAATTTATTAAATAACTAATTCATAAAGTCACTTCTTGTGTTCCTGAATGAATTAGCTTTTTCAAACAAATTCGCTTGAATGAATGATTCAACGATTCACTCATAAAGTCTGTTGTTTTGTTCATGAATGAATAAACTTGTTTAAGCAGATTGGTTAAATGAATGTATTTAATAAATTAATGTAAATTAATAAAGTTGGTTTGTTTATGAATGAATAAAAGTATTTAAATGGATCCATTAAATGAGTGATTCAAGGGTTCATTCATAAAGAAGTTTAGTTCCTGCATGAATTGGTATTTTTGAACAAATTGGTTGAATGAACCATTCAGTGACTCATAAACACAGCCTGTTATTTCACAAATTAATTAGCTTTTTTTTTTTTGAACAAATTGCTTGAATGATTCAGTGACTGTTTCGTTTTGGAATGAAACAGAATGTTTTTGAATAGATCGATTAAATGATTCAAATGCTTAATCATAAAAACAGTCACTCGAGTTTTTGAATGAATCTCTAGAATGAAAAATTAATTAATCCATCGAATGAATGCTTCGAGGAGCTACTTCTTTAGTTCCTGCATGAATTAGTATTTTTGAACAAATTGGTTGAATGAACCATTCAGTGACTCATATGAAGATAGTATGTTATTTCACAATTGAATTAGCATTTTTAAACAAATTGCTTGAAGGAATGATTCAATGACTCATTCAGAAAAAAAGTGTTTCGTTTCTGAATGCTTTTGAACAGATCAGTTTAATGATTCAATGACTAAATCACTAAATGACTAAAGACAGTCGCTTGTTTAGTTCCTGCATGAATGAATTGTTTAACTAATCCGTTGAAAGAAAGATTATTCTTAAATTCAGTCTCATTCTCGACTCCAGTCTGTTGTTTAGTTAACGAATAATTCAAAATTTTTGAATGGATCGGTTAATTTAATTATTCAATGTTTTGCTCCTGAATTAATTTGTGTTTTTGAATGAATCAGTTGAACGAATAAGTCAGTGACACACTCTTAAAAACATTTTTTTTTGTTTGCAAATCAGTCAGCATATTTGAATTAATCATTTGAATGAATGATTCCTTGACTCACTAGCCACCACCTATTAGCGTAACAAAGAGTCATACAAACACCAATCTACATAATGTGATGTTTTGTGATTTCAAACCACATGAAAGCTGGACATTCCACCTACATGTGTCTGAAGTTACACTAAGTAATTCTGAAAGATGTCTAGAACCATTTCCATATTTTTAAACTGATCCAGTGTTGGCCTATTTGGGTTTTCATTTATGACCATGGTCATTCTAGCCTGCCCAGAGAGGCCTGCTGATTATTAGATTCAGTGCATGCATTCAATGGTGTAGTCATCTGAAGGAGATTAATCTGACAGCCGTCAGATAAAAAAATGCAGTGGACCTATTTAAAGCACTGAATATACACAGACATTAGCAGTATGAATTAAGCCAGCAGGCATTGAGCAGAGATTTTTCATCTCATGTGATGTAGTGGATTCATCTGTAGGAGAGTCTTTCAGTGTGACCAGTGTTTAAATGTCTCAATGGTCACAATGCAGGATTTTCAACTACCTAGTTCTTCTTTGGGACTGAACTACAACTTAAGTGGTAGCAGACTGGATCTATACCCAGGTTACAACTGAAGACAAACATCTACACTGTTAAAAAATGATTTCTCAAAGTTGTAAATAAAGCAAAGATGATCAGAGTATGCTTTACAAGAAAATACTACTCCAGTCCTTCTAATTCAAAATCTCATGTTTAACACAATGTGTTACTTGCTGTTTGTTGGTAATTATTTGTCAAATTTACTAGCAAATTCTTTATTTGTTTGCGTGTAAAAACATTTTACAATGATATACTTTCATACTACTTTTGCTAAATGTATATACGGTTGCATTTTCTGTATAACCTGATGTTAATATTAAATAGCTATAATTACACAGATTAAGAAACTGCAAATTATCAGACTTATTTTCCATTTATTAACAATTTTAGAACACAGAATAGGTTGAATATGGGGAATATTCCATGATTCAAAGCCTTCAATTTGAATTTCCATTTTAATGAATGATTTGGAAATAATATTAGCTAATAATTATTCAAATATTATTAAAGCATTGGCTGATGTAAATATATACGTACACTAAAAAAACGGTGTAGAAACGACTTTCACTCAGAAATTGCTAGTAAATTAATTACAAAGTAATGGCGAATAACACATTAAACATGACATTTTTTATAGGAGAAAAAGCAGTATTTTCTTATAAAACATACTCTTATAATCTTTATTTACAATACAGTATTTTGCAGTATGCAATAAACAGCATGCTAATATGATGCTTCAAACTTGATCATTTGTATTTCCATCAGGCTGAAAACAGGTCTTGTTAAGTTTTATTGACTAATAAAAGCCGTATCCATGAAAGCACGTGGAGGAAAACGGTCTTGCTTCCAGTGGCTGATATTAAGCAGCATGTCTGAATGAGATTATGGATAATGGTAAAGCAAAAACAGCATTACAGGGAATTCTTTGAACTCTCAGTTTAGAACCAGCAGCCCTGAACGAGTCTTCAGACATGAACTATCTGTGGTGATATAAGGCTGAGCATGGATACGCTGTCATCTCCTCAGATCTTGCCTCATGTGTGTGTTTATTGCATTTTCTTCTCTTGCAGTGAAGTCCGATCAACTCCAGACTATCAAACGTGAACTGACTCAGATCAAGATGAAGATCGACTCTCTTCTGGGCCGCCTGGAGAAGATCGAGAAACAGCAAAGATCTGAGTGCGGTGAGACAGACAGAGAACTATAGGAGAGCAGGAATAAAATCCAGTCCAGCGGGACATGGTTGCAAACATCGGCTGTACGGGGAGAAATATTGGGAGTGTATATGCGCTATCCATCTCTGTGACAGGCGAGGAGACAGCAGCCAATTTGTCAGAAATGTTATACAGGCAATCTTGCCGTTTTACTATAGCAAATCCCATTTCGCTATGTTCGCCAGTAGATGAGAGCACTGTTTTCATCTAGCAGACACACTGAGGAACGCCATAATGCTTGTCTCACATTCACGAGTCAAACTTTAGGTCTATTGCATTAATCCATACAGATTCAAGAAAAAGAAAATCACAGTTCTTTCATCATTTACTCACCCTCATGTCATTCCAAACCCATATGACTGACTTCCTTCTGTGGAAAACATAAGGTGACATTTAAAAAATGTTCCTTCTGCCTTTTTTCCATACTAAAGTAAAAATAAAAAACAGTTTTTAACAGTTTAAGGCAATATAAAGCCTACTGTATCATATTTATTAAGTACATTTCTAAGGCCTCTAAATGATCAACCTGATCAAAATTTTACAGAAAAACCTGTTGTGCAAAATCTACTGCATGCCTTCTGTTGTCTGATTGACAGTTACTCATATATACTTTTTTAGCAAGTAAAAGGCCTTTTAGTATACTTCTTAAAACATTTGATATCAGGTCGTGGTTCATGTGTATTTTTACTATGAAAGCTTTACTTATTTTCATAAAGTAAATGTAAGAATAATTTGTATATTGTTAGTCATTTCAAGATAAACACTTACTGGACTGAAACAATTTAGGATTCATTTTTATATCCATATATATATATATATATATATTAAAATGTTAAAATGTGAGTATCAAATATGATAAATTAAATCATTGCATTGCATTATTTGTTTTCAAACTAGAGCTTTGATCATAAAACTAAGCATTTAAATATCATAATAGTAAGACATTATTAGGAGATATAGATTTTTATGACAGTTGTCTGTTACTTTTGTAAAGATCACATTGATAAATAAAAGAAACAGCAAGAATTAAATTTGAAATTCAGAAAGACTGAAATATTTTCTTTCTCATTAAACATTCTCCAATCAACTTTATTTACAACTCTGAAAAATATTTTTTTTTTACAGTGTACTTTTTGGCCATATAAATATCAGCAACTGCACCAAATTACATATTTTTGCTCAGTTTGGGCCTCAGAATAAAACTGAGGTGGTTTTTCCTCCTCGAGTATTCTTACTGTATCATACTATATGTGCCATAAAAACCTGGTGTATTAAATATTATACTCAAAAAAAAAAAGTTCAGTAAACCTGTTCAGTTTAAAAAAACTAAATTATTCTGACTATTATTTCATATGTCAGGCTTTAAAGGATTAATGCATCATATTTGCATATAATATTCTGCCTCATATTCCATGGAAGAAAGAAAGTCTTAACGGGTTTAGAATGACAAATTTGAAACATTTTTGAATGACAGCTTTTTCATTTTTCGGTGAAAAAGATCTAATTTTGCTCTTATGCAAATAAGTAATGACTGATATTTGTGATATAAAGCATAATCGTCATAATATCTCTGTGTCATGCCTTTAGAGCCTCACAGGAAATATGAGGACAACTGCGACTCTTTGCACGAGGGGTCGATATCAGAGACGGCAGACAACTCCGGAGAGGAGGGAGGGGAAGGACAGCTGGACGCGGAGGTGGGAGAAATGACGGATGGTGGCGAGGATGACTACGACGAGGAAGGCAGCACTGATCTGGTACGCTGGCCCCCCGCGGGCCTTACTGGCAGCAGTGACTCTGAAAAGCCCCGTTGAAGCTAATTCTGCAGATTTATTCACGGTTGCAGACATGAGAGACGCAGGGCTGGGAGAGCAGAAGCTGACAGGGTTCCGCTGGGCTGCTTCCTGCTCTCTTAACCCTCACCTGTCACGCTCTGTAATTAAAACCGGGTCAGAACCTCTGGAGACACTGGGGTCCACGACCAACAGCAAATTAAGATTTAGGATGTGCTTCCCATTGAGGAGACAGGCTGATTGTATTTTAATGAGCTCCTATATTTCTTAAACTGGAGGGAAACGTCAAGGCGAAATCCCGCTGGAAAGATTCCCAACAGCATGTTACGGACATTTCAGGTCAGAGCGTGACCTCCAACACAGCTGGGTTTAGCAGATACCCAAGCAATACAAATAAAAATTGGCTAGACTTTTTAAAAGAAACTGTAGAGAAGTGATTTTGGAGCCTGAATATGTTTCTCTAAAAAGGAACTTGAGGTCACAGGATTGTTTATATGAAGAGTTTGGTTCCAAAACGCTATAAATCCATTTTGATTAATTTGAGTAAAAATGTGTTTTCTTTACCAAGAAAGTGGCAAGATGAAAACCACTATTTTCTGTTTCAAACTTTCACATAGCATCTTTAGGTTATAATAACATTAAAAATTCAAATCCAGATTTTGATTTTCAAAGATTTATTATAAAATTGTATTTTTTTTTCCCAAAATGCAATAAATCCAAGACACGTTTTTTTTTTTTTCAAAATGCAATAAATCCATTGAATCAATATAAAAGTTATTTTTCATATTGAAACTGTTGAAAATACACAACATGGTAAGTCGATCCACATACAGTATGACAGCCTCTGAACTTGGTCAATACTAATCTTATATACAGGCACTGGACTAAAAATACATTCAATCAGT